TTCAGATTAATATTTGCTGTAGAGAATTGGAGGAAACAGGAATAGGCAGATGGAGAAGTCAGATTACAGTGCGGGGCAGGTTGCATTCAACCCCAGTAGGGGTTCTGGAGAGTCTATGGCCTATCAGAGTTAGCACCCATTTGGTCAGAATAGCCAGGTCCTTATATTTTCACATTGATCTTAATGTGGATATGTGTCCCTAAGAAAGATCTCTTTAGTGAAGAAGATCTGTTCAACATTGAAGAAGCTGACATTTGACAGTTGTTTACTGATGTTGGTAAGGAAGCTTATCCTTGTCTCTGTAATAGACAGGAAACATAGAAACCAGTATTAAAACACAGACATATTTTTGTACATAAATCTGCCATATAGGTAGTAATAGATAGTTTTTAGCTCTTTGCTGTGTAATATGAGTTGTAGTTCACTTGGAATTAGAAGATCACTATCAGGATGATAGATTCACATAACTACTAGTCAGATAATGCTGCCCATCAGTTGAGAGTTCAGTCAGACCATAGGTCAGGACATTTGTTTTTCTGACATGGGTGTCTGCATGGGTTGTTTGACAGGCAGACATGTTAACAGGCATGATGGATGACTAGGTTCCAAGAGAACAAAGTAGAATCACGTGATACTTTTATACTGATCTCTGAAACTCTTAAAACTTCTCTTCTACTGTACTTTTTTGTTGAGGCAATTACGAGAGCCCACTCAGGTTCAGATGGAGGGGACATGGTAGCTGCCATCTTAATGAAGATAATTTTTGGAAAATAATATCTATCTCATCTATAAGATAAAGAGGCCAAGGTGCATTAGTTATAAGTAGGATTGGGTACTTCTTTTAGAAAGCTCAAATTAATAGTGTTTTTAATATACAAAGAAGGGAAATGACTGATCAGGTTCTTCTGTACCAAGGTCTCACAGAAAAAAACTAAAATTTACGTGGAATTTGTATCTTAAAGGCATCAGAGAGTTAACTGAAGCAAACAGAACTTGGATTGGGAATATGCACTTAGAGAAAATGAGGCCTGCGAAGTGAACTCTTTGTTTTCACTTTTTTTTTTTAAAAAGTGGGTAGAGATTATTTGCTGTGCAGTGTGTCATGAAAAATAAAAAGTGAACTTTCAGGCTATAGAAATGAGCAAACTATAACCTGAGAAACGGCTTGCTGGAAAGAATATCTAAAATACATCTACCTTTAGGCCTAATTGAATCATTCACCACATAATCACTTAAACTGCTGAACTAATGGCAAAGGATGAATTGAGATGAGTTGCTGCCAAAGAAGCAAAGTTTGTGATTTAAGTGTGATAAAACAATGACGTAGAAAAGTAAAAATTACCTTTAGAAAAATAAACAATTTAAGGCCCTAGTGATTTAGCATTCATTGTGATAAGATACAAATCAGAATTACCAGTGTCCAAAAAAACAGGGAAATAGAGCTAAGCTTTAAAAGTTGGTGGTGGAAAATGGGCACTGGTGGAGGAATGCGTACTCGATCATTGTATAACTGAAGCCTGTAAGTTTGTAAGTCTATAACTGTACCTGATAGTGTTTCACTAAAAAAAAAAAAAGTTTACAAGAAAAAGGGAAATAAAAAGTTAATAAAATCATAAAATCATGGGACTATAGAAATAGTACAAGGGTGAGGTGCTTGCCAAATTTGGATTTGAATCTTGTGGTTCCCTGAGTCAAAATAGGATCCCTGAGCATAGAGCGAGGATTAAGCTCTGAGCATCACCAGGTATGACAACAAAACAAAACTTCCTAAACCAATAAAATCAACCAAGATACTCCCTGAAATTCAGAAGTACAGATTAGAGTTTTCAAAATCTTTGTAATTAATCTTAGTGTAGTAAAATGAAATCTGCTTAAGGTGAATGAAAAGTATTGGAAATCCTGAAAGAGAAATAGAAACTAAAAGTCAAATGGAAATTCTGAAATGTATGAAATTATACTCTTCACTAGGTATACTTAACAAAACAAACAGACTTGGAACAACAAGAATAGATATTAAAGTAGTGAAGCAGGGAAAAGTGATTATACTAGCATCTCAAGGACCTGTTAAATAATATCAAAATATCTTATATGCATATACTTCCAATCTAGAAAAAGAGAAGAAAGAATGAGGCAAAAAATCTGAACATATTTCATGGAAGACATAAATTTATGTATTTGAGATGTTTAATAAACAAGGAAGGTAATACCAACATGGCCATGCCAAGTTTCATGATAGTAAAATTGTTAAAAATTGTAAGAGCAAATTTTGGAGACGGGAAAAAGACACATTGTACATAAAAGAAGAAAATATATTATTAACTTGAATTCTCATCAGAAGGCAAAAGTCACAAGAGAGACTTGTCAACCAAAAATTTTATATCCAGTGAAAATATACTTCAAGATAAAAGTGAAAGACATTTTTAGATAAAAAGAAAACAAGATAGCTTGGGAACAGACCTGCATCGTAAGAAATGCTAAAGGGAGTACTACCGAATGTAACCTCCCCACATGGCAGAGTCTGGCAAACTCCCTGTGGCATACCCAATATGCCAAATCCCAGTAACAATGATGGGTCTCATTCTCCTAACCCTGAAAGAGCCTTGAATATGGCACTTTTTAAAAAAATCTCAGGGCTAGGACGAAGGAGACATTACTGGGGCATGCTCGAGGTAATCAATGAACAAAGCTCTAGTATTAAAATATCACTATCACTATCACCCCATTTTTCTTCAATTCGCTCGGGTGGGCCCAGTAACGTCTCCATTCTCCCTGTCACATGCAAGTGTAGCCCGATGACATATTGGGGGCTCCTTCAGGGTCAGGTTAATGAGGACCATTCATTGTTACTGTTTTTGACATATCGAGTACACCACGGGTAGCTTGTCAGACTCTGTCATGCTGGCGGGATACTCTCGGTAGCTTGCCGGGCTCTCCGAGATGATTGGAGGTTTTTGGAGCAGCCTCTAATCACCTTTATAGGTGTTACTAGTCAGGCATATAGGTGGGTAGGATACTCTCAGTAGCCTGCCGGGTTCTCTGAGAGTGAGAACTAGAGAATAAGAGGTCGCTTCCAGGAGCTTGATTTTATAGTCTCTGGATGGCCGTTGATGGGGTTACATGGCAATTGATGGGTATAACTGTCTAGCTACTGGAAGGTGGGGGAGCTGGGTGGAGGAGGCCCAGTCCTGAACTGAGCAGGCTTAGAGATCTCAGCCCCAGGTCCCGTACACCTGGGTTCCTCTGCCGGTTCCTCATCCAAGAGTGTGGGGAGTGGTCTCAGCATGGCTTTGACTGGGTCCCGGAGGTCTTCAGCTGTCGGAGCTCTGTTCGGGGTGGAGAGGGAAACCCAACCTGCCCTCCTTCAAGGGGCCCTGGTGAGGACAGCCAGACACGGGAGCAGGAGGCTCTGCCTTGTTCTCTTCCGAGAGCTTGGTTTTATGGTATTAAAATAGATAAATTTAAAAATCCAATTTTTATGTAAAAACATTATATCTCACCATGGGGTTGCTAAGAACCTTCTCTGTTATTGTTTGTTGAGTTTAGTTAGCTTCTATGTTACTTTTCCATCAATTTTGGTGTGCTTCTACTGGAATTTCAGTGTAGAGGAATTTGGAAGTGTGGTGTGGCCCTGAAATTTCAGAATCTATGGTCTGGTGGCTCTGGTGTATTTAGGGAGTACTGGAGGTAGGGAGTGGGGGGGGGGGGGGGAGGCTACCTACCCCATTCAGATTTCTCAGCCTGGATACGGAGTGCCCTAAATGTTTTGCAGTTTGGTGCCTTTCAGAGAGCATTAGTAAAGGGGTGGAGTTGAGCCTTTGGCATGGCCACGGTGGTGGAGTGTGGGTGCAGCTGCCAGTGCTTTAGCAGGGCAGGAACTCAGTCTGCTTCCCCTCCCAAGGGCTTCCCAGAGTTCTCTATGGGTGGAGGTGGGAGGAGTCACACTAGTGTGTCTGTGAATTTTAGCTGTTTGACTTGCATCTTCTCTGAGATTTTTTCGTGAATTGGTAGAGCGGAGTTAGTAGGTGAGTCCATAAAATAGTATAAAGCACTGATATTTACCATTGTTTCCTTGAGCTTAATGAGCATCTCTGTGTTCTCTCAAAATTCCCTTTCTCAGAAGCTATATAAGTGGTTAGTGCTAGTTGAATCTTCTGGGCTATCTTTTTTTACTAAGCGTGGTGGGATTCTGTGTTGCTTTCTCATTGTGCTCGTTGTTTTCTGGGGTAGAGACTTTCCACTTCTTAGTTCACGGGAAGCTCTGGTGGGGCCAGCTGCTTGATGTCTTCTTTCTTTGATGAAGATCCTCAAACCAATTTGTTTTTAATAGGTGTGTGGCATTTCTTTTGCTGGTTCAGTGTCATTGACCCTTCCCTGTCTGTTCTTTAGATTTTTATGATCCTTCCTACTACTGCTACCTTTGTAGGATTTTGTGGGAATAGTGGTTGTAGCTAGAGTTGGCTAAAATTAACACAGGGTGGATTGAGGTAGCCAAGGTATGTTCAATATAGGAGGCCAAGGTGTATTCTGTGTGGTGTATGCAAAGAAAGTATAATGCAACCATGATTGAATTGATGTAATGGGTTGCCTTTTCACAGAGTTTGTAATCGGGGCTACATGTCTCCTAGCTTAGCGGGAGGCAGGTGGAGAATACTGAGGTGTGTACAGTTTCTGTGATTCCTAGCATGGTCCAGAGTATCTATTTTTTAAAGGAAGTCGAGAATTTCAAACAAAAAGTTTATCTTACCATGTAAGTGATTATATTTATTTTCCCATAAAATAAATGGGAATGTGGTGGCCAGTGAGAGAGTACAGCAGGTAAGGTGCTTGCCTTGCACGTGGTAGATCAGAATTCGATCCCAGGTACCCCAGTTTCCCCTCTCTCCCTCCTCAGCCTGCTAGAAGTGGTCCCTGAGCACAGAGCCAGGAATAAACCTTGAGCACTGCCAGGTGTGGTCCAACAAGCAAACGAAAATAAATAAAAATAACGTATTTTTTTCCAGAGACATCAAACCTGACAATATATTGATGGATATGAATGGACATATTCGGTTAGCAGATTTTGGTTCTTGTCTAAAACTGATGGAAGATGGAACAGTAAGTAAAAATAAATGCTAAATTATGGTATTTTTCTTGAGATTTGTCTTCTTTATCTATTTGAAAACTATACTTATCCATGTCTCTCTTTATTTAAAGGTCTTTCTGTGCAATACTGCCCTCCTCAAATTTATATTAAGACTTATCTGTAAACTGCTATGCCATTTCTAGGTGCTTATGTTAGCCATTTTAAGATTGATGCATATACTTGCTAACAGATTGTTTCTTCTTTAGCTAAACTATTTATTTTTGCATTTGAGATACTTACATTCGGAAAAAGGCTATAAGTAAATCCACATGGAGGATTTAAAAGACACTTACACTTTTATTTGTCTTTGCTTGTTATATAGTTTTTTGAGGGGTTGTATTTGCTGAATGAATTCTTTTATTGGAAAGTCCATTGGGTTGATTACATTATATTCATTTGCATAAGTTCTGTTAACTAATGTTCTGTTACCTTAAGTTTTGGTATGCCCCTCATTAGTTTTCTTTCACTGACTTAAATTAATATGTTCAACCTTGTTCTCAAGGTTTTGTTTTTTTAATTCCAGTTTCTTGACTGCATAGCAGAAGCCCAATTATGCATATAAAATGTTCCTTGGTAGAAATTGTTTTGGAAAAGTTTACTGTAATAATACCCAGAAGCAGTAAATATATCACATTGCTTTGCACCATAACTTGACTTTTGAAAGTTTATGTTGAGAAGAGAATTTTTCTCTAAACATTTTTATTTTGGACATTGTTGTTTACAGTTGGTAGGGTTTCATATATAAAACATTCCAGCACCACATCCTCTACCAGTGTCTATTTCTCTCCACTGTTGTAGTGTCTTCTCCCCCTCTGCATCCTCCATAAAAGTCCCCCTGTGGAAAGCTTCTTTCTTATTGAAGACTTAGTTTCTAATGCCTTTGGGTGTTTGTTATCCCCCTGCTGTGTTTCTTTAAGTCCAGCATATTGGAGAGATCATTCTTTGTCTGTTCTTCTCCTAAATTCACTTAACTTGATTCTCTAGAATCAATTTTCACTTAGCAGAAAAGCGGTAGGGCGTTTGCCTTGCATGCAGCCAACATGGCCGACCCGAGTTCGATTCCTCTGCCCCTCTCCGCAAGCTACCGAGAGTATCTTGCCCGCACGGCAGAGCCTGGCAAGCCACCCATGACGTATTCGATATGCCAGACACAGTAACAACAAAGTCTCCAATGGAGACATTACTGGGCCCGCTTGATAAAATCCACGAACAACGGGAGGGCCTTTACCTTTACCTTTACCTCTTTTCTTAGAGCCAAGTAGTATTCCATTGTGTATGTGCAACATAGTTTCTTTATCCAGTTACCTGTACCTGGACACCTGGGTTGTTTCCAGATTTTGGCTATTGTAAACAATGCTACAATGAGCAAATGTCTTTCATGAATAGAGTTATTAGGACTAAACTCAATATTGAATTTGCTGTTAAAGGCTATGGTATTCATTTTATATTGTTCCTCTAAATATAGTTAAGTAATGGCTGTAATATAGTTGTAGTTAGTGTAGTAATTACGTAAAATTTATGTAAACAAGGTAGCAGTTCACATAAAAAAAGTTAACGATTGGTATGATATGTGTGTAAACTCAAAAAAGGGGCACAGCACACAGCCGCGGTGGCTCTATCTCTCCCGCCGCCCATGTTCGGTAGTCTCATCCCGCTTCCCCCACCCCGGGAAGGTCGATGCCGATGGGCAGGCAAAGGAAGGAACAAGGGCCAGGCTGGTAGGTCTTAGTCGCAGTTTATTCCAATCCTCTCTCCATCCACACCAGTCTCTCTTCTCTGCCTCTGCCTCCACTTCTTCCTCCCCCATGTTACTTCATTCTCCTTCTCCATCCCCCTTCGTCCTTCTTCTCTGGAGTCTGGATTCTGATTCTGATCTCCTTTCTCCTCCTTCTGATCCCCTGCTTCTTTCTTCTGATCCCCTAGCCCACTCTTACAGTACAGTTAAATCCCAAAGCAAGAGGGGTTGGGGTAATAATTACACATAGGTGTGGTCACAATCAATAGGGGTAGAATTCTTTCCCTCAGGGAAAGCTGCTCCTAGGACAGATCCTCTCTCAGCAGGACAACCCACCCTAGAGCGGAATCCTATGGGTGTGTTTCTCCTCTCCTTGTCCGACAAGCATATAAGCATATATAATATAAATCATTTTGTATGTTTACAGTAAGAAATATCTTAAACTTATAGAATTGCCCTCCTAGGGCCATCTTGATCTCGGATTGCAGTGCCAGATAGTCTTTCCCACCCCTAGCAGGATCCTAGTCTCATCGTTACTTTTGGATCATGGCAGCATTTGTCTATGATTAAACTCTTAACTTATAGTTAAGAATCGTGGCACTTTGGCCTGGCCCATTTCGATGCCAGGGTAGCTCACTGCTTGTCCTGGGTCCATTCTGTCTCTCGTCGGGACCCTGCTTTTGGGGTGTTAAGAACTAAGGGCAACTGAGACTTAAGTTGAGAAAGCAGATGCCCGGGAGTGAATAATATTCAAAGCCAATCAAATCCTAAGTTACAAAGCATAATGTTAACGGCCTTCCTGTATCTATACAAAAAGGGCATTGCTTTAAAGTAAACTGTTCTTAAGGCATAAGGAGAGGAGAAAGGCAATATTTCACTCATACATATAAAATCATAGATTTCTGAGGAATCTAACCTTACAAGTTAACAGAGTCTGATTAGGGGGAAAGCTGATTAACTGGTTGGGGAGGAGAGCATAGGGAAGAATGTTTACAGAGAAACACAATGGAATGGAAGTGTCTCAGGAGCACTGTGATGGGTGTAACCAGATAAACCTAAGCTCCATGTGGAGGAAGGACAAAGCAATGTCATCCTACAATATGTAGTATCTAAGTATTAATATCCTTAATATAAAAGTGTTATTCTTTCTAATGGTAGATTACTAAATATGTGAACTTTTTCAGGTTCAGTCCTCAGTGGCTGTTGGAACTCCAGATTATATCTCTCCTGAAATCCTTCAAGCTATGGAAGATGGAAAGGGCAGATATGGACCTGAGTGTGACTGGTGGTCTTTGGGAGTCTGTATGTATGAAATGCTTTATGGAGAAACACCATTTTATGCAGAATCTCTGGTGGAGACATATGGAAAAATCATGAATCACAAAGTTAGTATATTTAACTATTTTTCAGAATAATGTATTAAATAATACATACAGTAAAAGTAATTTTAAAAGAAAAAATATCTTCTAAAACCAAAAAAGCAAGTAATGATGTTCAACATCTATGCTACTACAAAACTGGATAAGGATGAGTAGACAAAATGGAAAATTATATGTATAATTTTACTTACCAATTTCTGAATCTTATTAGATGTGTTAATACATAAGAAATTAAATAGACTTACAGGAAAGTAGACTGGCAGGAAAATTTCTATTTTACTATTGTAGAATAAGTATTATTAGGACTAGAGAAATGCTTAGGAGACCCCCAGAATATTTGTCTCTAAAAATGCATATCATTGATAGTAGTTAATCATTAGTATCTGGTTTATTTTAACATCATTAATCTAATTCATGAATTATTAAGCCATATTTCACTACTTTTTAATGAATTCACTACTTTAATAAACAGTTGAAGATATTTTAGTTTTTAATCTTCCTATAGAGCATATATGACTAAATAATATGAAATGAAAAATTCCTTTGGAAAATGAACTATGCCATTTATTCCTATATTTCCTTTAGTATCAGTACACATAGTTAATGTATTTTAAAAGAAAATGTATTTTAAAAATAAATTTATCTATTAGTAATTTAAATGTTAACATAGTTTGTTTCCATAATTTTCTGCAGGAAAGGTTTCAGTTTCCACCTCAAGTGACTGATGTTTCTGAAAATGCTAAGGATCTTATTCGCAGACTTATTTGTAGCAGAGAACATCGACTTGGTCAAAATGGAATAGAAGATTTCAAGAAGCACCCGTTTTTTAGTGGAATTGATTGGGATAATATTCGAAATTGTGAAGCTCCCTATATTCCAGAAGTCAGTAGCCCAACAGATACATCCAATTTTGATGTGGATGATGACTGTTTAAAGAATTCTGTAAGTATGGTATTATGAAGTAGTTCTCTCCTTTTTTAAAAAAAAATGATCATAAAGTAATTTTATGAAACATTTTTAAATTATAAAACAGGGGTCCCAGATGTAGGTCAGCAGTTGCATACATGCCTTTCATGTTTGAGGCCTTGGGAACTATTCCCAGCACTACCAAAGCAAAAAAATATATATAAACAAGTAATTATCAAACAGACCTTTGCTTCTAACACTTTTTCTCTCAGATTAAGAAATTAAGAGAGTTATTTAAAGCACTCATAGTCATTCATAGCTAAATGGACGAAAACTCAAAGTTTTACTTGTTCAGACAGATAGTCCTGTGGGCAAAGTAAATGCCTTGCCTGTGACTGACCCAGGTTTGATCCCTAGCACTCTCTATAGTCTCCTGAGTACCACCAGGAGTGATCCCTGAGTGTGTAGCCTGGAGTAAGCCCTGAGAACCTCTGGATGTGACCCCCCCAGACAAATAAAAGCAAAATAGCAAATCAAAAGTTCACTTCTTTCCACTTGAAACTGCAAAAAATTGATAAATAACCCATTTCAAGTCTTGATAAAAATACCAAAGGTAAACAAATTGAAAGGTTTTTATTTATGAAAAAAATTGCTGAACTTCAGTGAAAAATAGTCTGCCACCTTTTTCAGCTGAGTTAGAAGTTCTAGGCTAGAATTGTTTATAAAATCAGCAACTTTGCTGCCAGAGCGGCTGACATGATTTTGACAACTAAATAGTCATGCCTAGTGGTGCTGCCACTAATATAGCAAATGTAATAAGAAATGAACGCATAAGTTCTCCAGCCTTACTGACTTGATTTCATAAGCTGTATGTATCAAGTGGTAGACTAGTGGACTAATTAAATGTCCAACCACTTTTCTCTATGAGTGTATTGAAAAACGCCAATGTAGTTTGTCAGTCTCTTGGTTACATTGAATGAAATTAGCAAAATTACGTATTTTATGTTTTTTTTTTCTCTTAACCCAGCTGACTTCAGTTTTATTCAGGTGTTTTATTTCCTATTGTTTAAATATGCATTAAGAATTTTTATATTAATCTGATATACATAACTGTTCAGTTAGTTACTGGTTTAAACCAGATATTTTAGATTTTATACATTGCACCTGATGAGGAGTAAAATAGACTTTCCTCATTGTTTAAAACATATTCTTTACTATTAACAGAAGTTGCTGTTCATTCCAAATTAAATACACAGTATAGCCAGTTCTATTTGTGGTTGTTAGGGCTGGAGCGATAGCACAGCAGTAGGGCATTTGCCTTGCTCAGCTGATCTGGCTATACCGGGTTTGATTCCTCCAATCCTCTTGGAGAGCCCGGCAAGCTACCGAGAGTAGCTTGCCTGCACAGAAAAGCCTGGCAAGCTACCTGTGACGTATTCAATATGCCAAACACAGTAACAAGAAGTCTCACAACGGAGACATTACTGGGCCCACTTGAGCAAATCGATGAACAATGGGAGGACAGTGCTATAGTGCTACAGGGTGTTAGTTGTCATAAACACATTATTAGCCAATCTGAACTGTTTTGTAGGAAAATATAGCATTGGGTTTCTGAAAGCCTCTGGTTATGGCATTTTCATCAACCAATTATATCTCGTTTTATGTGTATTTCTATTTAAAGATTCCATATGTAATATGTATTGTTGATTAACTTTGGGTCCTTGCTGTCATGGCCAACAATATTGTAATTCATGCCTGAACTAAGCCTATTTAACACACTGGTTTTGTTTTGTTATATTTTGTGTTTTAAGTATCGCACATCATAGAATTTTTACTTAGGAATGGTACTTGGAAGCCAATTTAAGCAGTCAAATCACCTGTGAAAATATGAAAATGCAAAAAACATGGCATACTAGACCTTGGAAAGGACACTTGTGAGTCAGAAAGAAAAAGATCATTTAGCTCATTTGCATAGCATAAGGAAACAAAACAAGAGGTTAGACAATTTCCAGTGGAAACAAAACTGAGACATGTCAATGGGTGCTGGGGAGAGGGAGAAGGCAGCTTGGGATAACAGGGAGGGATTCAAGCATTCTGGTGGTGGGAATGGTGTTTTAAGTAAGGCACATGTGAAAATGGTGACACTAATTTTATTGTTAATAAATAAATCACTAAAAATAAAAATAAGAAAAGGGTGCTGCTTATTTTCATTATGAGAACTGATTTTAAAAGGTAGAGCATTTTTTTTTTTAATAATGTAGGAGTACTGCTATTTGTTCAGCTATTAATGAAGCTGATCTGATTGAATTGGGCATGAGCTCCACGTTACTTTTTGTTTCTGGTTTTGTTTTACTGTACCACTGTGAGATAGAGTTACAAAGTTTTCGTATTTGAGATTGAATCATATAATGATGGGACACCCATCCCTCACCAGTGCACATTTTCCACCATCAGTGTCCCCAGTATTCCCCACCCCCCAACCCAGTCCTCACCCTGCCTCTTTGGCAGACAATTTTCCCAATACTCTCTTTCTAATTTTGGGCATTATGTTTTTCTCAAATTTTCCCACCACCATTTCAAAGCCTACCTGCCAGGGGCAGACACTAGATAATTTATTTTCCATTGCTCATTTTGAATATCATGAGAGCTCACGCAGCCGAGATTGTAAATGTAAGTTTCTAGATTGTAAATGTTGGGTTCCAGAGACATCTCTGTATGGCACTAATACATTTTGGCATTCAGTTGGGAGTCTGTGGGCCAGGGCTCTTGGTGCACTAAGATGAAGCCTGGAGGCAAATTGTAGACTTGACAGCCAAGTCAGCTGCTTGGGCCGGGACCCGGGGAGGAACAGCCAGGTCCTTTGCTACCATGCAGCCTGGAGATTCAGTTCTGAAACTCATACCTGGGCCTTGCTTATGGAAGCTCTTGGTTACCGGGATTCCATCTGGAGTAGGCAGGAAGACTGCACTGCTCCTTCTGGGGTACCCTGGTGAAATTGGCTCAGTATGGGGCCCAGAGAGATCTCCAGCACTGTGTTGTCTTTCAGGGAACTTGCTGCTGTGTCTCTGGGCTGGGGCTGTTGCACTAAGATGGTGCCTGGAGGCAAATTTGGGTATGACAACCAGTCAGGCAGAGCATCTTAACTCCAGGTGGGAGCCATATGCATGGAGCAGCTCAGTTTTTTATTTATATATACCTTGCAAATGACTATAAAAACACTGGAATATTGGTTTTGGGTTAAAATTAATTTTAGTAACTAGATGAATTTGCAAATATAAGATCTGTGAATGAAGTCAATATTTTCAATATCAGACTTTCAATCTTTTTTATTAAAACATTTTTATTATAGGGGCTGGAGCGCTAGCATAGCTGGTAGGGTGTTTGCCTTGCACGTGGCCGACTGGGGTTCAATTCCCATTATCTCATATGGTCTCCCGAGCACCACCAGGAGTAATTTCTGAGTTCATGAGCCAGGAATAACCCTTGTGCATTGCCGGGTGTGATCCAAAAAAGCAAAACACACACACACACTTTTTATTATAGTTTAGATACTATGTTCATAATAGTGTTTATCCTTGTAGTATTGGCCTTTACTGTTTGTAGTCTGTGTTTTATATCATTAAAATATGTGCCAAACTTACGACTATTTCTGAATAGAACAGTCTCACATTTTCTGTTGGCAACTAATATTCATAGCCAAGTCTACTGTGGATAGTAGTTCTCACCAGATGTTTCTTCCTCTTTCAGGAAACGATGCCCCCACCAACACATACTGCATTTTCTGGCCACCACCTGCCATTTGTTGGCTTTACATATACTAGTAGTTGGTAAGTTTTAAAAGTTAACATGATAAAACAATTTAAAGCAATTTAACATAAATTGAGATTTTAAAGTTATGTAATATATAAGAGAACCTTTGTAAATGAAGTTCTAAAAATAGGCTGAATCTGTTACTGAAAAAGTCAGGCATTATAAAATTAATAGAACAGGTAAGAGTCTTAATTCCTTTTGGAATCAAAAGGATAGACCAGATAGTGAACTTGGAATCTTAGAATTAGAATTTAGAATTCCTTTAGTTCAGGAATCAGAAGAATCTCATATTATTCAATAAATAACTTTCTAGGTGTCAGGCTCCAACTGTTGCAGTAAACTTATCTTACCATTTTCACTGTCATTCCATTCACATCATCTTTTTCTTTCTTATCTATTTTAAATTCCAATGAGAATAGTTATATAATTATTCCTTGTTTGCTCCCTCAACTCCTTGAATATTTCTCATTCTCTTACACAGGTTCTGCTAAAGTTAATGTTTGTTATTTAAAAATCCCTTTACTGCCTTAATTCCTTAACTACTTCTCATCCTCTTACTCTGGTTTTGCCAAGTTTATGTTTATTATTAACCCCCCCGACCCCCCCGCCTCCTGTCTCATTTCAAGTTCATGATTACTGACCTCAAATGCAGAGTTGTTGCTTGACAGATACAATGTATTACCCTTTTACTCTCCTAGATAACTTTTTCATGCTTTATTCTTTCCTCTGAAATCACTGTTTTCCTTTTTCTTTGCTTCCTCTCTGATAGGATTGAATGACATAGCAGAGAACCTCTTTAAGCTCCAGTCACTGAATTTATTCCCTGAGTACCTCCCAACTCATAAACTTTTTTCTTTTGACCATACCCAACTATGCTTAGGTACCACTCTTGGGGCCACAGAGATAGAACAGTGCAGTGGGTAAGGTGTCAGCCTTGTTGAGGCCAACCCAGATTCAGTCCTAGGCACCCAATGTTGTCCCTTGATCACAGAGCTCCAAGCACCACCAGGTGTGCCTTTAAAAACAAAAACAACAACAAAGGAATCATTCCTGGATGGGAATCCAGTTGACTATATGGGGTTCTGGGGATGAACCCTGGTTGGCTTTGTGCCAGGCAAACACTCTGCCCACTGCATTCTCTCTCTCCCCCCTTATATACTCTTCTTTTTATGAATGAACTAAAGCCCACTTTTAATTCCACTTTTTTCCTCTCATCTAATACTTGCTTACATCATACTTTTCTTTTTTGTTACTTGCATCATTAGCTCATTCCCATTAGTTCAAAAACATGAAATTTTTCTCTTAAGGAAAAATAAAATTTCTCTTATTTGTTTACCTGCCACCATTCCTTCTGTGCTACACATTATAGCAAAAATTGTTCTAATCTGTAGCCTAATGTTTTGTTCATTTTTCTCATATTCTTTCTTAGGCCCCACTCCAGTTAGGCTTGTGCTCCCATTTCTTCACTCATCACATTTTTATTGATGTCTCCATTGAACTCTATTGTACAAACTCTTTAAGGGGCGGCCAGAGGGAGGCCCCAAAGGCTCTTCCCTTAGCTGCCTGCATTCAGGGTTCCCCGGACCACACACCCAGCCAGGACAGCCCGGACCATGGGGCAGATGGTGGAAGAAAGGAGGGCCAGGCTGGTTGCTCTTAGTTGTAGTTTTTTCCAATCCTCTCTTCATTTACTCCTGTCTCTCCTCTCCTCTTCCCCTAACTCCCTTATCTCTCCAGGCTGACACCTCAGCCAGACTGGTAGCAAAATCAACATAAGAAAACCCTTCCTAAGGGGCCTACCAAGTTCAAAGGGAATACCACCTGAAAGGTATTCCAAAGCTCTTCCAGACTGCCCAAGGGCAAAATACTCCTTAAGGTGTTTTTCTCTTTTCCCTAGTCCAATAGGGAACCTTCGAACCTCCTTTTCAATCCAGTTAACTCCAGCAATCCAGCCCAAAGAAGACCATCACCACTCCCAGCCTCCCTGGTAATCTCCTTAGCAATGAACTTTTACCTGAGAAGAAGCCCCACGTGGGGGCAGGTTGGAAAAACCCTATAAAGGCCACCTTGAACAAAGGAAGGGTGCGCATATGCTGCCCAAGCCCATGTGCTGCTTGTGCCCAAGTGGCCTAGCACATGTGGTGCCCGAGCACATGTGTCGTCTGCATCTCCCCTCTTGTGTATTTTCATGCTTTCGTGTCTAATGCTAGGATGTGTGTAGGGGCTCTCTCTCTGCCCTTGGAGAAGCCTGTGTTCTCTCTTGAGTATGTTACACACACACACTCACTCTCTCTCTCTCTCTCTCTCTCTCTCTCTCTCTCTCTCTCTCTCCCTACCCCCCCTCACTCCTCCCCCCCCTCCCCCGCACCTAAAAATCCTCCAAATAAAATCTATTTGTTTCACTGCTTGTCTACTCCTGAAATTCCTTTCTGCGAGGCAAGACAAGAACCCAGTAACCCTGGGTCCCGGGTGGCAGAGGCGGGTGGGGAGAAAATGACCGTCTTTCTCCTCCCCCCTTCACATAAGTCACCCGTGGGGCCCACCAACATCACGTATGTGTCCACTTCTGTCCTTTACCACTTGTCCCACCTTCTTCCAACTTTCCCATCCCTTTTCCACTTGCTTTTTGGTAGCCACCAAATGAATCAAAGAGAATCCTTTCTTTGTATTTTTCTTTTTGACCAAAAACCCAAAGTCTTACAACTCTCATTAATTTTTCTGATTCTCTTTCCTAATACTCTTTTCTTGCTCAGTTCGTTCCAGTGATAAAGATCTTTTCACTACTGTACCCAAACAGTACATGCTGTACCCACTTTTTTTTCACCTTTGTTTAAAAATTGAAACACTGTGAGAAACAGTTACAAAGCTTTCATGTTTGAGTTTCAGTCATACAATGATCAAACACCCACCCCTTTTAAAAATAAATTCTTTTATTGAATCACTGTGATATAGACCCATACCATGTTCATGCTTAGGTTTCAGTCATACAGTGTTCCAACATCATCCCTCTCCATCAGTATACATTTCCCATCATTGGTATCTGTTTGATCTACCTGAAATGCTATTCCCCTGATGTTTCCTTGCTTAATCCTCTTACTTTTTCTAGATTTATTCAAGTTACTCTCTGAGTGCTTTTTTGATTTTCTTGTTTTATCTTCTTAGATAAAATTTTCTTCATTCCCCCTAATATACTTCATTTCTCCCTTTTCTGGTTTTTCTTTCTAACACTTAAGACTGTTTAAAGTAGTTAATGTATACCTTATCTTGCTTATTAGTTTATTATTTAGGGCCATATCTGAATGTGTAGCAGCTGTTCATTCTCATTTCAGTGCTCAGAGTTCACTTCTGGTGGTGTTCAGGGGGCCATATGCAGTACTGGGCATCAAACGTGGGCCTCCTTGTGCTCCAGCTTGTTTAGCTGTCATTCTGGCTCCTTGTGTTTGTGTCTTTGGAATATGAGCACCATGTAGGAAAGGAGTTTGTACATTTTACTCAGTATTAAATGCTTAGTAATTCAAGTATTTCAAATTACTTTTGTATTGAATTAAATTAATTCACTTTTATATTTCTAATTCTGGTAAGGAAGATCATGATTGGTGACTTTGACTATTAATTTTGCTTAGACCCGGAACACATTATTTTAAACTATCAGTATCCCTTCAACAATCTTTATTTTGTAGTCTATGATCACTTAAAAAATTTGAGATTTTTTTGTTTTAATTTTTTTTTCTTTTTGGTTTTTGGTCCTTACTCAGCAGTGCTCTGACCATACTTTTATCTTTATAGTCAGGGATCACTCCTGTCTCAGGATCTTTTTGTTTTCTGTGTTGTGGGATCCCTGGATTGGGGTCCTTGGTACATTCCTGGTGCTCAGGGTACATATGAGATGTCAGGGATCAGATACAAGTCAAGTTCCTTAACCCCGCCCAGTATTATGTCTATTTCCCTTCAGTTTTTATTTTAAAAAATGCTTCTAGGGCTGAGGATGTAGTATATTAGTAGAATATGCTTCACATGCATTACACCGGGGGTTTAATCCCTAGAGCTCTACTAAAATGCTTCTGTAAATAATTATAGTGATTTTTGTGAAAAAGTATTTTACAATCATTTTAATTGAATAATTGTAACTAGATATTCAAATCCATGTCTTAAATGGGCAACCTCAAAATATTTCTGTTATCTTTTAATTTTAATATAAGTATGTAATTTTTTTTTTAAGTGTTCTTTCTGATCGGAGCTGTTTAAGAGTTACGGCTGGTCCCACATCCCTAGATCTTGATGTTAATCTTCAGAGAACTTTAGACAACAATTTAGCAACTGAAGCTTATGAAAGAAGAATTAAACGCCTTGAACAGGAAAAACTTGAACTAAGTAGAAAGCTTCAAGGTAAATATATTTTAAAGATAGTAATACCTTTTTTGGAATTGCACACACAGTGTTAAGAACCATTTAAGTTGTGGTTTTATCTTGAGTTACTTTATTCTGTAGAGAAATCATTAATGTACCTTTATGTAAAAATCTTCAAATTAACACTAAGCAACAAAAATGTTTGTTTTTCATACATACAAATCACTGTATATAAATGTATAGAAATATATAGCCCTGGGTAGAGGGAAATGGAGCTACTAAGAAAATGAAATCGTTACTGCCCTATATTATAACATTTTATATGACTTTTCTAATAATGGCTCCTCAGTTCTTAAAAGTTTTTGTGTCCAGCAATGTTAGTCTCTACATAATCACTCCTGTTTTAATACTTGGTGATTCTAAAATGTTTATTGGTGAGTTTTTAATATTCTGGCATATTGATCTCTTAATTCTTTACTTTCAGTGGTGTTCGCTTCCACAATGGCTCATCCACTTCTCATTTTTCATGAGTTTTATCTTGATATTATGATATCTACAATTTTTTGTTTAATCTTAGATTCAAATACTTTATAATCTTTCGCTTTTATTTTTTAGTTTCCTCTAGTGATTTAACTCACATTTCCTTCATTTCTACAAATAATTAGAATTATATCTCCTTTTACCTGTCTTCTTTTATCCTAATCTCATTTTATGATAACATTACATATACTCTCAAAGTTATCAGTTCTTTCTCTTTGTCAAGCTCTTTTGTCAAACCCCTAATCCTTTATAAATACAACATTGCTAAATGTGTGGTTGAAGTTTGTCACCCAAAATCATAGCAACACAGAAACAACTGAATGTAAAAGGAGGGCTTTATTGATAAGAAAACTGCTTATAAGCAAATCTTGCCAGCACAGGCTATATATGGACACATACACATATATATCTGTGTATATATAGATGTATATTTGTTGTATACAGTATCAGGCTATATACATTTAGTATACATTTACTATGTTTGTAAATATATAGTATATGTACACATGCATATAAATATATGTATATATGTATACATATAGTAAATTTTGTTTTTGTTTTGTTTTGTTTTGTTTTGTTTGCATTTTGGGTCATACTCGGTGATACGCAGGGATTACTTCTAGCTCCTCACTCAGGAACTACCCTTGGTGGGGCTCATGGGACCATATGGGATGCTGGGAATTGAACCCGAATCAGCCATGTGCAAGGCAAATGCCCTACCCACTGTGCTATCGCTCCAGTCCCTATATAGTAAATATTGAAGTGAAAGAATGTTTTTGTTTTATTCCAAATAGTGTTGTGTTGATGTATGAGTCTACAGATGTTAAAGATGTTTAAGAATTAATCTTGGAAAATCATGTATATGAGGGAGAAATAGCATGCACAATTGATCATATAGTGAAGATATATCATCTTGTATCATGTCTGTGAAAAATAGCAGAGAAATATCAGGGTGTTAGGATTTTGTTTGGTACTAAGAACTATTAATTTAGGTCTGTTCGCTATTTGTATAGTTCTTAGGTTGACAATGTCTTTTGTTGCTACCAGGACGGTGATTGAGGGTCATGGGCACTTTTGGTGGTGGGACGTCGTAATTTTGTTCACCACAAGCATGAACATAAATGCTATTAGAACCATGCTTTTTCAACTACGATATAAAATTAAGTAAACAAGAAGAGTTTTTAGTGTGCAGTGTTCGTTGAATAATTCTGTCTAACCAGTGCTTCCCAGTCGTGTACCTTAGCTCATTTCTCTTTCCCATTTAACAAAAAACAGTGATCATTCCCCAGTCTTTATATTTTAATGGATCTATAGGAATTGACCCTACTGATCATTTCCCTTACTCTCTGCCCATCCCTAAAGCTGGTTTTTTTGGTTTTGTTTTGTTTTGTTTTGTTATTTTTATGGGGTCTTGGTTTAATATTTTGGTTTTTCTTTTCCTTCTAAGCCACTTTTTCTCAATTTCTCTTGCTGATTTTTCTTTAACTCTTTAATGTATGATTGTGAGAGGTATCAATGTTTTTAGTCGCTTGTAACAAATCCTTATACAGGCATACTTTAGAAAGAACACAAGTTTGGTTTCAGACAACTGTGTAAAGTGAATACTGCAATAGAGGCACACAGATGTTTTCTTATTGCATATGAAACTATGTTTACATTATACTGCATTTTATTGTTTCTAATAACACTGATTAAAGAAACAGTATAAGTACCTTTTATTAAAGGTGACATAGAGACACAAAGTAAGCATATGCTATTGGGAAAGTGGTACCTACTGTCTTGTTCAAAGCAGAATTACTGAGAACCTTTAATTTATAAAAGAATGAAGTATCTGTTGATACTAAATAAAACACAGTTTGCTTACACACTCTGACATATCATCCATTAGAAAATTGGGTCCACTTAGATCCAGAATTTAGTTATTATTCACTCTGATGCTACCACCCTGTTTTAAATCACCATCAACCCTCAAACTATATGTTGAATTTGATCCATGAGTTATTGGGTTAAACGAGAGAAAAACAGAAAAACAGCAGTGTCTACCATGAGGCACTTATGTCTTCAGACAGCAGAATATTAGGTTGACATAAAAGTTGTTACTGATAATAAAAGAAATAATATGGAAATGATAGAGAACAGTGTATGAAATTTTAAAAAATTATGTAGTTATCTTTAGAATTATTTGAGTTAGAGGTTGAGTTGAGTTGAGTTAGAGGTATACAGTTTACCCACACCTATTCCATCACCAGTGTCAACTTCTCTTCACCAATGTCCATGTTTTTTCTCCCACCCACCAGCTTGCCTCTTTGACAGGGAAATTTTTTTTTAAATTTTTATTAGTGAAACACCATGAGGTACAGTTGTAGACTTACAAATTTTTGTGCTTGTGTTGCAGTTATATAATGATCAAGTACCCCTCCCCTCCCTTACCAGTGCCCATTCTCCACCACCACTAATCCTAGTATCCCTCCCATCCCCCATCCTCCCATCCCACCCTGCCTCTGTGGCAGGGCATTTGACAGGAAAATTTTTAATGGAAATTTGTAAGATTTTTATTCAAAGAGAGAATGACATGAAAGCTAGTGAATATCTATAATAAATAGATAATAGCATTTTAGGAGAACTACGATTAAGGATAGAAGTAGCATAGAGAGGTAAAGATATTCACCTCATCCCCATTACCTGAAGAAAGGACCACCTGCAGTATAGGGCGGTATGAGAAAGTAGTTCCTATTAATGCCTTTAATGAAAAGAACATTAAAGATGTTCTTTTCAAAATAGTAAATAAGATAGGTATTGGAATATTAAGTGTGATCATCATGAACAATTATCAAAATTAAATTTAAAAATACAGTGAGTTAAGAAAGCACCAGTTTTAGCATGTTTTATACTCAAAGAAATGTAAGAAATGTTGGGTGTTTTTTTATGAAGACCATGTTTGATTATGAAGACTGTAATTTGATGTACAATTTGGCATAATTCTCACCTTAAATTAAAATTAACAAACATTTGTTGGCCAGCATGCTGCTTTTGCTTTATATAAATAGCAAAAACAAATGAGAAAATCTCTTTAAGTTATGGTTCTTTATTCATGTATTACAAATTTGTAAAATAATCATAATGTTCTAACAAAAATTTATGATGGAGACTTAACTTGTAACTCATTTTCAGGATGATATAATTTCTGACATAAACCTTAAAGCTTCCCCCCATATTTTTATGATATGATGACATAAACCTCATTGAAGTTATTGTTACATAATGCCTTGAGTCTCTTGATTAAAATTACAAAATGAATTAATAGTCTCAAGTTGATGAAACAGTTTTTTGGTTGTTCTGCAGTTTGATAAATACAGCGTGGAAAGCCACCACTTTATTATATATGTTAATAGTTCCAAACCTTCCTTTATCAGATTTAGGTATTATGAATAGCCTGAAATAGGATCCTTTAAAGCTACTGCATGAGGATACTCATTGCTAGCTGATAAGATGACCAAATAGTGATTTACTTGCAACATACATTGAATAGTTCACCCATTCAAAGGTGAAATCTTTTGATTTGTGTCATGATTTTAAAGATGCAGGCACTGGCATTTTATGATTTAATTTTAGTATATCTACATGCTTTCTGTTAATGAACAGATGCTTTGATGGAATGATGTAGGGATTTCTCTAAGAAGAAATAAATTGCTTTTTCAAATACTGAGAAATGGTCCTTAGTACAGCCTGTCCACCAGGCACCACTGGTGTAGGTCTGGAGGTGGCCCAAGCAGTATTGCATTGCTGGACTGAATCACTCATCCTGGTTAGCAGAGTATTACTGAGAGTGATTGTAAAGATCCTCCAAGTACTTCTTTGGAGGCTCCTTCCCCCTAAAAAAGAAGTGTCCATATATCTTATCCTTTTCCTTATTTCTTTTAAGAGTCAACACAGACAGTTCAAGCACTGCAACATTCAACTGGCGATGGTCCATTAACAGCAAGCAAAGATCTAGAAATAAAAAATTTAAAAGAAGAAATTGAAAAACTAAGAAAACAAGTAAGAGGTAAATTTCTGTGATTAACTATTAATTCCATTTAATGAGCTTTTTAAAATGTATTGTTTGCTTATAGAACTTTTATTGAGTACTTGTGTACTAGATAATATGAATTATCTGCCAATTAATGAAAAGCAAGTGTTAAAGGTTTCTACTCCAAAGGAGCTTACATTTTTGTCTGGAAAGCTAGTCTTTGCAATACATGTGAAAATATTATGAAAAACATAAATAAGCACATGGAGATTACACAGGAGTGCCTAAATGAGATTTAAATGAATAAAGAGACCTCTTTGGAAGTCCTGTTGGTTTTTAATATTAAACTGGAACTTTTCTTTAAAAGGATATGTATGAGTGCAAGAGAGTGTTAAAGGAGAGTGTGGATAAAAGAATTGCATGTTTTTAGATATTCTGCAGGTGAACTTTTATTTTCTTGATTATAGTTCATTTTTCAGTATTTTGTTGAGTATAATTAGAATTAAATTTAACAACAGTGAGAGAGATGATTCAAGGGCTAAGACACAAATCTTGTATGTGATTGAGCCTGGTTAAGTCCTTAGCACCTCATGGTCCCCTAAGCTTTTCAGAGTACAGCTTTGGAGGCCCCTGAGCACTGTTGGGGTACCCAGTTGGGCGTCATGGCAAGGACTGAACTATACAGCATCTGCTCACCTTAGTATTGAACCACATGCCAGGTTGACCAAGTATCACTGCAGCTCTGTTAAGCACCATTCAGGAGCCCCTACCCACAAATTACTTTGACATCTATTGATATGCCTACAACATTCATTCATTCATTCCCCTCATTTAACAAGTATTTGCTGAACACCAATCATATGTACTAGGTATTGTATAAGGTTACTAAGATACAGTAATAAATATAATAACAAAAATCTTTATTCTTTCCCAGATGGAGGGCAAAACCATATATAAAAACATGACAGTTAAAAAAAAATCCTTGCATGTGCCAACTCCAGTTCAATCCTAGGCATCATTTGTTATCCCCCAAGCACTGGCAGTGTAATCTCTGGGCACAGAGTAGGAATATATCCTGATCATAGCTAAATCTGGACCCAAACAAAAACAATATGAAAGCAAACAAAAACTCCAACTCAGAACATCACTTTTCCCCCTGATCAGAAATTCCCTCCCCACGAAATAGATAAGGATAAGGAAAGTTGCTAAACTACCCTGGCTTCGCTTCACCCGCCCTAGTTCCAGGAAACTGAGGAAACTCAGTGTCAGAGGCCCTGCTTTTTACTCAGGATTGCCATTTTGCTCCCTGTGTCTTCATTACTTATGTAAATATACAAAGACATCCTAACTGTAGGTGCCTAACCATGTAACAACACAAAAGAAACATCTCCAAACTGTAAAGGTCACAATGGTAAAGTAGTGCAGAACCATGACAGAAGTTTCAACCAGTAATAATGATCTATATAGCCTCTCAAATTTTCCACTTTAAAGTGGAAATGTAATCGTCCGATTCGGGTTGTTAGGCATTCAAATGAATCAATGCTTGTGACTAAGTTTGTGTTGACAAGGATACCGACACCACCGACGCCTCTTTTATCGCATGTTCCAAGGAACAGTTCTTCTCCAGTGTCGAAAACAGCATGATGAGATTGATGTCTTCTTGTTTCGGTCAGACCAATGATGTCGTACTTGATCTTTCGTGCTTGTACCATAAGGTCTTCAATGGATGCAGCAGATGCCAGCGTACGAGCATTAAAAGTACAGACAATCATTTTTGTTTTTCTGCGTTTTGGTAGCCTATGTCTGCCTTGGTGTTTTTATCAGCTTCTCCTTCCATATCCTTCTCGACTCTGCATATTCAGGGTTAGGGAAATGAGATCCATTTATTACTGGATCTAACTACCGGCAGTTTCTATCTTTGTTGTCTATGCACCAACATCCAGTTATGGTGAAAAAGAAACTGAGAAGTTCTACATGGAGCTGGAGAAATTCTATAAAGAAGATCATACCTTCTACAAGATCATTGTCGGTGATTTTAATGCCAAAATAGGACCAAGAAGATCAGTCGATGAACTCCACATCGGAACCCATGGCCTGGAATTGAACGAACAGGGTGACAGACTGTCTGAGTTCATCATGTCAACCAAAACCTTCCATGGTAACTCACAATTCCAAAAGGCTGAGTCTAAACGTTGGACATGGGAGTCTCCCGATGGACGGTTCCACAATGAAATAGACCACATCATATTCAATCGGCGGTTTTGCCTAACCGATGTTGCTGTTGTCCCAAAATTCCAAACGGGATCAGACCACCGTCTTCTTCGTGCAAAATTCTACCTCACAGAACGAGGAGAAAAGAATGCAAGGTTTAAGAAGAGGACTCCCAGAACAACCACCAACTGGGAACTCTTTGGCTCTGTTGCGGCAACATGGGAAGATGCCATCATTGACAACATTGATGAGGAATACGATCGAATGATTCAGCACCTCCATGATTGTGCAAGGAATGCCAAGAGAGAGATAACCACAAAAAACGGTCTTTCTTCGAACACTCTTGAACTTATTCGCCAACGTGGCTTGGCACGTGCCTCAGGCAACCACAAGCAAACGTCCGAACTGGCAAAACAGTGCAGAAAAGCCATCAAGAATGACCTCAAAAACAGGAGAGCAGCAGTACTGGTAGATGCAGCAGAAGCTGGGAAAAACATTCGTAATGCCCGCCTGTCCTTCACCAACTACAAAACCAAGATGACTGCCCTCCGACATCATGATGGATCTATCACATCTTCCAGAAGGGCAATGGAGAAGATTATTCATGACTTCTACTCAGATCTCTTTAATAGCCACATCCACTTGCCCACATACCACATACCACATGATGGATATGTCGTTCCCAATGTTCTCCCTTCTGAAATCCAACATGCCATCTCGTCGGTAAAGAAACAAAAAGCACCTGGCCCAGACAAGATCAGACCTGAACACCTGAAGAACTTACCATCAGTACTCATCAATACATTGGCTCGACTCTTCACACGCTACCTGTCTGAATGCAAGGTTCCATCCCAATGGAAAACCAGCAAGACTATACTACTATACAAGAAAGGAGACATCCACGACATTGGCAACTGTCGCCCAATCTGCCTATTGTCTGTCATCTACAAACTATTCACTCGAGTCATCCTGAATAGGATTAGCAGAACACTAGATGAAGGACAACCATGTGAACAAGCTGGATTCCGAAAAGGATTCAGTACCGTTGACCATATCCACACAATAACCAAGCTCATTGAGGTATCTCGGGAGTTCAAGATGCCGCTCTGTCTAACGTTCATTGATTTAAAGAAGGCCTTTGATTCTGTTGAGACGGAAGCGGTCATGGAAGCCCTAGCCAATCAGGGCGTACAAACTCAATACATCAGGATCCTTCGTGAGCTCTATTGCGGATTCACTACCAAGATCTCACCATTCTACAAAGAAGTAATCATCCATATCAAGAGAGGGGTTCGGCAGGGTGATACCATTTCACCAAACCTCTTCAGTGCCACCCTCGAGAACATCATGCGATGACTAGAATGGGAAAACATGGGAGTGAAGATAGATGGTCGGCAACTACACCACCTCCGCTTTGCTGATGACATCGTTCTAATAACACCAAACATCAGCCAAGCGGCACAAATGCTGAACGACTTTGACCGTGAGTGTGGAAAGGTAGGACTACAGCTGAATCTTACGAAGACAATGTTTATGAGAAACAGCCTTGTTCCTGACGCTCCATTTGCTCTCAACGGAACCACCATCTCCGAATGCAACAGTTATATATACCTAGGTCGAGAAATCAACATGATGAATGACCTGGCACCTGAGTTGCGCAGGAGGAAGAGAGCGGCTTGGAATGCCTTCAAGAGCATTGAAGAAATAACTAAAAGGACAAAGAACCTCCAGCTACGAGCACATCTCTTTGATTCCACTATTCTTCCTGCATTAACATATGCCTCAGAGACCTGGACCCTACGAAAACAGGATGAGAACGCTATTCGGGTTTCTCAAAGAGGAATCGAAAGAACTATGCTTGGAATATCACGATTCACTCAAATGAGAGATAGAATCCGGAGTTCTGATCTTCGTCAATGCTCAAGAATCAGGGACGCTGTCTCATTTGCCAAGACATCAAAAATCAGATGGGCTGGACACGTAATGAGGTTTACAGACAACCGCTGGACTAGAGCCATTACTGATTGGGTTCCACGAGACATCAAAAGATCACGTGGACGCCCACCTATAAGATGGTCAGACTTCTTCGTCAAGACCCTAAATGATCGGTTTGAGGCTCTACATGTTCCTAAAATGAACAGATACCATTGGGCTACGCTAGCACGCAACCGGGATGAATGGAGACGTTACTGGCACCCGCTCGAATAAATCGATGAATAACGGGGATTAAGTGATTAAGTGATAAGTGAAAGTGGAAATGTGGAGGATGATTTTTTTCTGTTTATTTTTTAATTTTTAATGAATCACCGTGAGATACAGTTACAGACTTACAAACTTTCATGCTTACATTTCAGTCATACAATGATCGAGTAACCCATCCCTCTACCAGTGCTCATTCTCTACCACCAGTGTTCCCAGGATCCCTCCCACATTTCCCCCTGCATCCCCATCCCACCCCTCACCTCTGTGGCAGGTGGATTCCCTTTTTACTATCTCTCTCCTTGAGGGTGTTGTGATCTGCAATGCAGGTATTAAGTGGCCATCATGTTTGGTCAATAGTCTACTGTCCGTACACATCTCCCATCCTGAGTGGGTCATCCAAACATCCTTTACCTGGTGATCCCTTCTCTATCTGAATTGCCTTTCCCCCGCAACATGTGAGGCCGGTTTCTTGGCCATGGAGCAATCCTCCTGTTCCTTGTCTCTACTATCTTTGGGTGTTAGTCTCCCATTTTGTTATGTTCCACAAATGAGTGCAATCTTCCTATGTTTGTCCCTCTCTTTCAGACTCATTTCACTTAGCATGATACTCTCCATGTTAATCC